AATAATTTTAGTACATATTCATCGGTGTGTCATACATATTTATGTGTATAAAATGAATATATTTGCGTGTCAATGTATACAACCTTAACTAATTCATTTAACAACGTTATACTTTTGTAGTTTTTGATTCTTTTTTTTTAATATTTATTTTTAGTTTTCGGCAGACACAACATCTTTGTTTGTATGTGGTGCTGAGGATCGAACCCGGGCTGCACGCATGCCAGGCGAGCGCGCTACCGCTTGAGCCACATCCCCAGCCCTGTAGTTTTTGATTCTTAAAGGAATTTCACAACCTTAGTGATATATTGGAGAATGGTGTCATGCAGAAGTCCCTTTTTAAATTTTATGTCTTAGCACAGAACATAAATACATATTAACAGATACATGCATTCATAAATCTTTGTTGTCTTAAGTTTGAGCAATAATACCTTGAACTTGGGGCTACTATTTGCTTTTTACCCAAACTTTCTAATTATAAGCTTTAAGAAAGTCACAAATATTAAAAATCCAAATTCAAGCTTTTAAATTGGATTTTTTTGTCGAGTGCTAAGGCTAGAATCCAGGACCTCAGGATGCTAAGGCAAGCACTCCCAGCCCTTAGATAAAGTGTTCAACAGGACTGACTAAAAGGTTAATTTTATATCATGAGACCAAAAAGAACAGTTTTTTCTTTTTTTTTAAGAGAGAGAGAGAGAGAAAATTTTTTAATATTTATTTTTTTTAGTTCTCGGCGGACACAACATCTTTCTTTGTATGTGGTGCTGAGGATCGAACCCAGCGCCCCGCGCATGCCAGGCGAACACGCTACCACTTGAGCCACATTCCCAGCCCCAACAGTTTTTTTCTTTTAAAAAAACTCAAAAATTTTGATGTTAAAATGTTATCCTCTTGATTATTACAGAACTATCATGAACACCTGCAGTGGCTCCCCATAGTTACAGATTAGTGAAATCTTTCTGCCCACAATTTCCCTCTGAGTTTTAAGGGTATTTGCATTGAACCAATTTTTAAAGAGAAAGAAATAAAGACAGAAAAAAAAAAAGCAATTCTTGTTGGCTACTCTTTGCCAACAATGTCCTTTCTCACTCCAACCTCTACAACCCTCTTCCAACATAGGGGAGGAGAGCCAGTTTGCACGTTGTAGAAGCCTTCCACATCACTGTAGGAGGAGAGCCTCAGTGAACACACCGGCCAGTGTGGGATTCCCTAATAAAACAGACGGCCTGTGTGTTGGGTTTTCAAAGCTGTGACCAAACACACGACAAGAACAGCTTAGAGAAGGAAAGGTTTGTTTGGGCTCCCAGTTTCAGAGGTTTCAGTCCCTGGTTGGCTGATACCATTGCTCTGGGTCCAAGATGAGAGAGAACATCACGGGGGAAGGGCAGGGTGGGGAAAAGTAGCTCCATTCCTGGCAACCAGGAAGCAGAGAGGAGGGGGAAAGGCCCACAGGGAAGATGCACCCCTCAGGCCACTGACCCACCTCCTCCAGCCACGCCCCTCCTGCCTACAGTCACCACCCAGTTAGTGGGCTCCAGCTAGGATGGGCTGCTGAAGTTACAGCTCTCATAACACAATCATTTCACCTCCAAACATCCCTGCACTGACACAGGGGCTTTTGGAGAACACCTCATATCCAAACCATCACACCCTGCTTTAAAAATGCAGCCCTGAGAAGGAGAGAGGACAGAGACACACTGGGAACTACTTTCCTTCCTCCTCTCCCCTCAGACTGTCTTGATTCATCATGTGCAAATCTGTACTCTCAGCCAGCAAAGGCTCCCTCCCTCTCTCCCTTCCCTTCCCTCCCTTTCCTTCTTTCTCCCTTTTCCTTCTCTCCCTCCCCTGCTCCACCCTCCACCCCACCCCCACCAAAAGACAGGGGTTGTCTAGACTGGCTTTGAACTCCTGAGCCCAAGCAATCCTCCTGCCTCAGCCTCCTGAGTAGCTGAGACCACAGGCACTGCACCTAGCACAAATACAATTTTCTATAATAAGAAAGGTTATGATTGGTTTTTGTTTTTATTTTCTTGGTGCTGGGGGTTGAATCGGGGCCTCCACCACTGAGCCAAGAAAGGGTGCTTGCTCCAGGATTTGTGGGGAGTCCCACCTGGACCTGACCTTTCACCAAGAATGGCAACCACTCCAGATTAGCATTTCTATGAATCTCCGAGAATCAGACAGTGAAGCAACCAAAGCCACCGTCCTGCTGCTACCTGCTCACCCGGAGTCACTAGGGCATTCCAAGTTCACCTACTGGCAGTGGGTGGTTGAGAAATCCATCTTCTCACTGGGGTGAGGTAATGAGAAACAGCCAATTCAAAAATGTACTGGAAGCCCTCGAGAGTCTCCCTGGCACTGTCCTCATGGCAAGGTAAACAGAGGAGGGACTGGCAGGCTGTTAGCTGAAGCCCTACCAGCCTGTGCTAAAAACAAGTGAATACATAAAACTGTCCACTTAAGGGTCACTGTGCAGCCTCACGGCCCCATACCACCCCCAACTCTTCCTCACCTACTACCCCTGAAGAAAGTGACATTTTGTTCCTGCTTTGCTCCCATTCCAACAGTTTAGTCAGTATAGAAACACTAGTGCGGAAGCCAGCCACAGTGGTGTATAATCCCAGCTACTTGGGAGGCTGAGGCAGGAGGATTGCAAGTTTGAGGCCAGCATCAACAAATTAGTGAGACCTTGTCTCAAAATAAAAAATAAAAAGGATTGGGGACGTAGCTCAGTGGTAAAATGCCCAGGTTCAACCTCCCAGTGTCAGGAGAAAAAAAAAAAAAAACAGTGGGAGAATTACCAAAAACATAACCTAAGACTCTAGGATTTTGCACAACCCTGCCTTTCTTTCTCCCATAGTACCAGACTTCACAATCACTTTGTCATTGTGGTGGGTCCCAGGATCCCTCCTTGTTAGGGCTTAGATGCAAAACAGCCGTGTTAATGCAGGAATATTCCAGGGTGAGATGACTGGATTGTGAGGGCTGTAGCCTCATCAGTCCATCCTGGTTTGAATGGACTGACTGGGTGGTCACTGGAGGCAGGTGGGTCACAGGGAGCAAGGCCTGGAAGGGTGCATCTTCACTGTGACCCCTGCCCCACCCTGGCCACCACGAGCTGGGCAGCTTTGGCCATGGTGTTTGCCTCACACTGGGCTCAAATACAGTGACCACGGCTGTCTATGGACTGAAACTCTGGAAGGTTGAGCCCCACATCAACTTTCCTCCTCTAAGTTGTTCTCATCACCTATTTTGTGTCAGTGACACACAGCTGACCAAAGCTCCCCTCCTCCGCCCCATTCCCTACTGCAGTCAGTAGCTTCTGTTTTCCACACTGCTTGGGGCCACCTGTGTCGTCTCCTGTCCCTCTCAATCATTTGGCCTCCAGCTTTCTCCTTGTTCCCTCCTAAAGAGCTTCCCAACCTCTCTGCCTCTCCACGGCCGTTCCTGACAGTTTTTCCCACACAATGGCAGCAAATCAAAGTAACCCTCTCACAGTTCAGGGCCTGGCAAAAATGGCATCCGTCTGTGCATATCTACCAGGTCTGTCCAGCTGGAGCCAGCTTTGGGCTTCTGGAGTCTTCCGACTACTAGATCCTTCACTGTCACTCCATCTTCCCAAGCACAGTGGCGAAGTGTCTTTATAACTGGCCCAGGAGCTGGGACCTAACTCCAGAGGGGCTGGAGTGCTGAGGGGGCCCTGGTTTCCTCTGCAGAGCTGCCTTCCTGTCTCGCTGGGCACAGACAATTTGCAGAGCCCTGGGCAGTGGTGATATGGCCACTGAATGTTTTTCCCCAGGGGGGGCAGACCCTCTCCCCCCACCCTTCTCTGTCACCTTAGGCTCTTTCCTCACCATATTTGACATTGGCATTCCCAAGTTCCCTTTCCCTCCCTCCCTGCTCATCTGGGAGCTGGTCCTCAACAACTCTCCCTCACTACCTCAGGCTGGTCAGCTTCAGCTGAGAGTGGAGATAAGGACCCAGGGCAGAACTATCTAGAGATGGCAACTCCACCCTGCTGGTCACTCTCTGCCTCCCTGAAGAGGTAGCAGAGACCTGTCCCCGTGAGCCCCCCAACCCCTCCTTCCCACTCCACCACTCCATGAGTGATTGCATAGGAAATCATCTAGGCAGGCTAGGGTGTGGCTCAGTGGCAGAGCACCGCTCAGATAACAAGGACTGGGTTCCATCCTTGGAAGAGAGAAAGAGAGGGAGAGAGGGAAGGAGGAAGACAAAAAAAGGAAAAAGAAAAATATAAAGCTAGGACCATCACACATTTTCAGGAACAGTGAAAGTCAGCGTAATGGAAAGTAAAAGCTATGCAGTGTGTGTGTGTGTGTGTGTGTGTGTGTGTGTCCATCCATCCACCAGGCACATGCCCACACACAGCAGGCTACTTCATAGGTCAGAGACTGGAGTCAGAATGTCTGATTTAAATCCTGGCTTCACTGCCCACACCGGCTCTGTTATCTCAGGAAGTGACCTGACCTTCAATCCCTCCATTTCCTTGAGTGTAAAATAGGGATAATAATCAAATTTATGTGATGAAATTATATACAGAAGAAATGACTTAATATTTGTAAAGGGCACATATATGTAAAGCTCCAAGTATTAGAAGGCAAAAACAGTTGAGGAATTCCTCTTGTCCTGATGCTCTTTTTATGTGGGTGTATTTTCAATGTGACAAACACACAGGTGGCATAGTGGGGCCCTCCCTGCCCAGTGTGGGGACCTGAATGCTTTTTGGAAGGACAGCTAATCTCCTTGTGCAGACTGAAAATAGGGCCCTGGATCACTCTGTGGAACAAGACAGTTTTAGCAAAAACTGGCATTACATGAAGAAACGACTATATATTAATGAAGGAGAAAAAATTCAGACTGATGTTAAACTAACATTCATTGAATATTCTGTGCCAAACACTGGGCTCGTTTCTTTTTTTTTTTTTTAATTCTTAATATTTATTTTTTAGTTTTAGGCAGACACAACACCTTAGGCGATTCATCTCATTGCATCTTGCAACCTCCTACTGAGGTAGGTAGTATTGTCATCCCCTTTCACAGATGAGAAGGACCCTGAAGCTCACAGAGAGGAGCCACCTGCTCACCGTCACAGAGCTAGTGATCAGCTGAGCACGGAGTGGATGGGCCTGACCACAAATCACACATAGAAGACAGAACTCTTCATTCGGCCCATGAACTTCTTTCTATTTTGAAAACATAGTTCAAGCTTTCCAAGTCCATTATCACTGTTCCTACCCGGATGTTCCTTGAATCTTGGCTCTTGTATGGGACAACGCAAGAAACTTCAGAGGTGAAATGATGGGGTTATAAGAACCTTAACTTAATCCCTGAGTTAGTCCCCATCAGGCAGCTGTGACTATATGCAAGTAGGGTGTGGCTGGAGGAGGTGGATCACTGGGGATGTGCCTTTGGGTGAATATATTTTGTGAGATGAGCTTAGACTCTCTCTCTCTGTCTGCTTCCTGGTGCCATGATGCTTTCCTCTGCCACACTGCCTTGCCTCAGGCCTTGAGGAATGGAGCCGGCCTTCTGTGGACAGAAACCTTTGGAACCATGAGCCCCGGATAAACTTTTCCTCTTCTAAAATTGTTCTTGTCAGGTCTTTTGGTCACAGCAGAAAAAAAGCTGGCTAAAAGAGATGATTATGATGACCTGGTCCTAGGCCACATCCCTGGCCTTCCCTGTGACATGCTCAGTGTACCCTGTAGGTCCCAGGCTGGAACCACACAGTAAACAACTGCTGGCTGCTGCTAAGAGTGTAAACCGTGAACCTTCTCAGGCGATGTCTGTGCTGTAGTTGAAAAACTGACAAAGGACTTTGGGAACCCAAGGAATGAGGATGCAAGATGGCATCTCAGCCACATACAAGCAACGAAGGTGAGTTAATCAAGGAGGAATCTCCGGGAGCCCTTCAACCATCCAGACAGATTGACCCTGATGAGAGACGTTCATATGAGAAAATACTGTAACTGCACAGAGTAATTCAGCAATTCCCTTCCTGGTGAGACCCTGGCCTGAGTCATTTCTTACTGCACAGTCACATCTTGCACTGTCAGTTGTATCTGTGTCCTCGGTTGGTGTCAATTCTCACTTGAGCCAGGTTCAGCTGGCTTACCGGGCGCCTCCTGACACTTGCTGTGATCGACGCACACAATGCAGTTGACACTCGCACACTGTGGTGGGGGTCAGGCAGGTCCAAAGGTGGCAGGGGAGGTTACCCTGGTAAGCAAAACACAAGTTCAAAGATGGAATTTAAAGCAAGATGAGGAGGAGCGTGGAAATGTGACTGCCTTTCCTTCCACCCTGTGAATTGAACTTGGCTTACCAACCCCCATTGCTAGTTAGTCCTTGTGTTGGTTTGCTGGGGCTGCTGTCAGGAACTATAGCAAACTAAGTGGCTTAACACAACAGAAGCCTAGTGGTTCACATTTCTAGAACATCTACAGTCGGGGGGGTGGGGGTGGGTAGGGCCTTGCTTTCTCGGAGGCTGCAGGGGACAGCAGTCTGTGCCTTTCTCTTCTCTTCTCTAGTTGCTGGCAATCCCTGTGTTCCTAGGTTTGTAGGCCTAGGGCTGCAATGTCTGCCTCTGCGGCCACATTGCTCTCTCTGTGTCTGTTTCTTCTCTTATGACCCCAATCACATTGAATTAGGGCCCAGCCAAAGAACCTCATCTTACCTTAATTACACCTGTAAAGACCCTATTTCCAGATAAGGTCACAGTCCCAGGTAGGTACTAGGAGTTAGGACCTTGCTATATATTTGCAGCCCATTCTTAGTAATGGGCTACTAAGTCTCATTACCAAAGAAATGCAGCCCCATCCAACTGAAAACCCTTGGAATACTCTTGTCAGTTAGGGATTACCCACAATGCCCCATGCTTTTCCTCTTCTCTCCAGGAGGAGGGGGAGGGTGGGGTGGGAGCGGCATTTTTAAACACCAAGGCAAGACCAGCCTGATGCCAGGGACATCTGGGTGGCAGACTTGTCCCAATCCTCCATTCTGCCTGGACCTGGGCATCAGCCATGGTCTTCGTAGTAAATGCCACACTGCCAGCCCTTAGACATGCCCTCCTCCCCTTCCCAGCCAAGTTCTGCACTGTGCTCTGAGAGACAGACAGCATCTGGAAGCCCCCAACACAGTGCGGGGGTACACAGCACTGAAGAGGTGTCCTCTGCTCTGAGTTTAGCCCTGGCTTTTTCGTTCCTCCCTCTCTCCCTCCCTCCCTCTCTTCCTCCCTTCCTCTCTCCCTCCCTCCCTTCCTGCCTGCCTGCCTGCCTGCCTTTCCAGCTGACAGTCAATTTTTTCAAGCAGTTGAATGAGACGTCCACAGCCATGCCATCCACCTGGCCCGCCATCTCCATGCTGCAGGAGGGATCTGCTTAGCAATGGCAAGGGACTGTGCATGTCACTGAGTTGCTCAGGGGTTCTCGCCCGGAAAGGACCCCGTGTCCTGGACCCTTCAGCACAAAGGTGCTCCTTGTAGCAGTTCTCAGTGCCGGTGGGCTTCTCATCTGCTCCTTCACTCTGAGGTCTTGGACCAAAATCCCAGAGAAAAGGCAAAGTTGAAGAAGGAAACCCCACACTTGGCTTCCCGTTCCCCGAGACCCACTTGCCAACCACTAAGCTCCAAGGTGGCCACAGAAAAGACGTCTGCAGGAACTGTGTCCCATAAAGACCTGGCATCCGGCATACACACAGAACTGGACAAACCAATTAATAAAAACAAAACATCTGACATTGCAATTCAAATATGAGGCCTGTTACCATTGAAAAGAGTTATCCAAAGAGCTAATACACACATGAAAAGAGGCTCCACCTCTCAACCATCAAGAAAAGAAAAACTAAGACCACAAAGAGACTCTGGTGCATGCCCTCCAAATGCCTAAAAGTAAAAGGAGGACAATACAAAGTGCTGGCGAGTTTGCAAGCAAGTCCCCTAAATCGGTGGTGGCAGTGTGACTTTTTTTACGACCATTTTGGAAAAACTTTGACAGTAACTACTGAAACAGCACAAAGGCATCCACAACAACCCAGGGATTCTACTCCAGGGGGAGAATGCAGCAGAAATGCACATAAGATTGTTGACAGCATTATTCCTTGTAACAGCCCAAACAGGAAACAACCTGGATGTCCCTCAATCACAGGTGGAGAAATTGTGGTATATTTATATCATGAACTAGTATGTAGCATAACAAATAGACCAACTCCTGTATGAAGCTTACAGACCCAATGTTAGAAATAAGTCAGACATAAAACAACTTGGACTGAAGCTCAAAAAAATGAAGTTAATCCATGATGCAGGCATCAGGGTAGTAGCGGCTGGCTGCTTTGGTACAAGGAGGAGGGTTCTTGTAATGTCCTTGTTTGTTTATTTCTATTGGGAATTGAACCCTGGGCACTTTACCTCTGAGCTATGCCCCCAGTGTATTTTTTATTTTGAGACAAGGTCTAAGTTGCTGAGGCTGGCCTTGAACTTGGGGTCCTCCTGCCTCAGCCTCCCAAGTTGCTAGGATTCCAGGATTGCAGTGCCTGAATTCTTATACTTCTTTTTAAATGCTGCCCCCTTGGCATTGTATCTGGAGCAACGTCAATGCTCAAAAACATACGCTGTCACATGCACAGAATCACATTTTCCCTTCCTGGCCTCCTGTGGGGGTAAGGGCAGGCAAGGAATGATAGGAACAGCCTGAAATTATGGTTAATGTTTTGAAGAGAAGAACTTGTGTTCAAGTTGCTTAAGGCTTCATTAAGTATTATCAAGTCACACTGACTACATCACATGGAAAAGTGACAGGCAGCTTATGACACAGGGCAAGGTTGTAGTACCTAATTGGAACATTCTCCAAGAGACACCTGTGGGTTCCAATAGCACCAATCAAGTCAGGATGAGGGCAGACACTTGCAGAATTCCTTCCCCCTGAGGAAAGCTCCAAGGCTTCCTTACTGATAACGATAGATCTCACTTGGCAGTTGCTGTGAGCCAGACACCATGCTCTGAATTCCCAAATCAATCAGAGGAGGCAGAACTTGCTGTTCTCCCAATTTGCAGATAAGGCAACTAAATGTAATGAAGGCAAATAAATTTTCCCAAGTTTTTATGACTACCAGAAGTAGTGAAGTCAGGATTCCTATCCAAGTTTCCCAACCTCCAAAGCAAGGGCTAAGGGAAAAAAAAAAAAAAAAAAATATATATATATATATATATATATATATATAAAATAGCTGGGTACAGTGGCACACACCTATCATCCCAGCAACTCAGGAGGCTAAGGCAGGAGGATCAGTTGAGGCTAGTCTCAGCTACTTAAGTGAGGCCCTGTCTTAAAATAAAATATAAAAAGGGCCGAGGATGTGTAAAGCACTCTGGTTCAAAGCACTCTGGATTCAAACCTGAGTACCAAACAAAACAAATATCTAGCAAATAGCTAACAGTCTTGGATGACAAGATTTCTACACAAATAACAATTTTAACAGATAGTCTGTGGTGAGTGCCACAGGAAGAAAACAAGCAAAGTGTAAGAGTCACTTCTGGCTACAGAAAATTCAGCTAGTCATAAGGTAAAACTTTCTTCCCTGCATTCCAACTTAATAAAAGCTGAATTTCCAAACCGGCAACCTCCTCCACAGTGACACCTTCAGAATGCCTCTGGAAGATGGGGGATCTTGATCCAGATATCAGTGGATGACCCCCCTGAAGTGAGAGCAGCTCTATACACCCCTCTTAACCACACATACCTGGTCTCCCCAAGCACCTTGGAAAACACCCAGAAAGTAACAGGGATCCTAGGGAGAGACAGTGCTGGAGGTGTTCTTTTTTTTTTTTTTTTTTAAATGGGGCTAGAACCCAGGGGCACTTATCCACTGAGCCATATCCCCAGTCCTTTTTATTTTTTATTTAGAGACAGGGTCTCACTGAGTTCTTAGGCCTCACTAAGTTGCTGAGTTCAAAACTCATGGTCCTCCTGCCTCAGCCTCCAGAGTCGCTGGGATCACAGGTGTACACCACTGCACCTGGCTGAACTTGCACATTCTTTTGTTGAGGCTCTGTTTGAATGTTTGGCTTCATGGCTCCAAACTTGTGAGCTGAAATAACCCTCTATTGCAACATTTTACAAAGGGAGTGTGAGACCGAGAGCAGAAGCCAGGAGTCCTTCAGTTGTTTAAACAGGGCTCCTTCACAGACTCCCGGATTCACCAGCCCCCAGCTGTGGACTCTGACGGGCACAGTTCTAGTCCCTGGGAACACAGTCATGGTTCCTGACCTAGAGAAAGTTCCAGGCCACAGCAGGACAAGCAGGAGGCTGATTCCACTCCAGATCATTGTGACAGCTGGGCAAGGGGCAACTTAACCTTGTTCTTAGCGTTCTATCATCCAAGAGGAAAGCAAGCAAACCCAACCCAGGTCAGAGTTCCGTCCCCTTTGTATCACGTGATGATTTCCAGATGGCTGCAGTCCTGGCTTGATGCCTAAGTGCCACATCTCTATCTGAGGTGTGTGTGGCTCAAGAGCCAGGTGTGGTGACACACACCTGTAATCCCAGCTACGTGAGAGGCTGAAGCAGGAGGATTGCAAATTTGAAAGCAGCCTGGAAAATTTAGTGAGACCCAGCCTCAAGATTTTAAAAAAGGACTCAGGGTACAGCTCAGTGGGAGAGCACTTGCCTAGCATGCATGAGGTCCTAGGTTTAATCCCAAAACAACTAAAAAAGTATAAATAAATAAATAAATAATGAAATTTTTAAATAAAATGAAAGCACTTGAAGATGCTTTGTGAACTATCATCTTACATCAGAGACTCAATCTAAGAGAAAATAAGAAATTGTGTTGTATTTTGTATTTTAAAGCTTAATTCTACAATCTAATTTTCCTTGTTATACTTTTTTTCTTCACGCAGCCTTGCTTTCTAGTTATTAATATATAAATATATCCATTATTTAAACAAAAGGGATACATGTGCCTGTCGATTCAGTCATTGCAGAAAGAAGGTAACAGGGAAATTAGACACTAGTGACCAACAGCATGCTTTTAGCCTCTTTGTGCATGTCCTTGCTAAGGAAATTTAGGAGTCTTTGCTATGGTACCACGTAACTGCCAATCAAAATAAGTGCATGCACCTCTTATGGGAAAGCTGTTTTTACTTGCACAACCATTAATTAAGGCAGATGTTTTTATCATTCACAGAGAGGCAATGCAGAGTAAGCTCATTAAGATCATGAGCT